CATGCAAATTTGGACTGAGGGGCACTCCAGTTGATGCTGGTAGTCCTGCTTCCATGAGGAGTAAGGGAAGTCAAAGGGAGAGTGTTCTCTCTTTAACTTCCTGCAATGTAGCTGAAGTTGCATATCTTAATTTGATCTTATCTTGTAGTGTAGACATACCCTTTGTGAGCAGACAAAATTCTTCCATGTGGATGCATTTTGCAGGGAAGAAAGGAATAAACTTCACCTAAGAATGTTATGTTTAATTGGTTAACCAATTAAAGAGGGCATGGGTGGGGGCAGCTGAAGGCTGGAGCAGTTCCTGCCTGTGGGATGTCTGAGTCCACCATGGACAGGGACTGCTCTGGATGGCCAGAGCAGCCCGTCTGCAGCTGGCCCCTCACAGGGCTAGAGCAGCCCCATACCTGCGGCAGGCAGGGAGCTGATCTAGTACCCACCGGTTAGCTGTGAACCAGAACTAATAAGCATCACCCATTAAGGGTGATGCTTACCAGTTAACCTTTCACATCCCTAGCCCCAAAGAATGGGATATTGTTGCCAGCAGACTAAGTCGATATTACTAATTCCACGATTCAAACAGAAGAGTCACAGTTCAGTAGCAAATCTCAGAGAAAAGTATAAAATGGTCTGGCCCCTGCAGTGTCCCTATAGAGCTCTTGATTTGGACCCAGTGGAGTGTGTTGAAGGGTCTCTCTGCACTGCTCCTCTTTCCCCACCCTGTTGTGACAGAACCCCGAGGAGAGTAGACATGACACACAGGAGGCCTGTTAGGGTAGGTTTACACTACAGCTTTTTCCGATTTTTTTTCGGAAGAGGCTTTTTCCGAAATATGGTCCGACTACACTGGGCCAAATTTCAGAAAATCCCCCCTTTTCAGAAGATCCTTTCTTCCTCATAGAATGAGGAAGACAGGGCTTTTGAAAGTGTGTGTTTGCACTTACACACAAAAAAGTGGAAGAGCAAACGCGTTCCCTGGATGTGGCGGAGTTTTTCCAGGATACTTCCAGTTTCCCAAAAAACCCCTGCAGTGTAGACGTACTCTTGTATATGACCTGGCAATGCCCCATCCAGAATGAATAAGACTCATGAGAGCCACTAGGCCAGTTGGGCATCAGACTGATTCACTACAAAAATCTTTGGTGGTAAGGAGCCCATTTGAAAAAAATCCTGTGAGTGGACAAAATTCCTCCAGGTGGTTGCATTTTGCAGGGAACAAAAGAATAAACGTCACCTAAAAATTTGGAAATACTCCCTGGCAGCATATTTTTCCCACCATACCATAATGTCCTGCTACTGTCCCAAATTCAGCATTTACCTAAAACGTGTTCTCTCACAGACCAATACTGTTTTCAACATCAAAGATAGATGCATGTCATTGGTGGTTTTTAGTGCCTTGATAAGTGTTCTAAGGTATGCAGAAAACATTTTTCTTCTCTCTATAGTATAATTCAAACAGGATGAAATTCACTTAACTGCTTAAAATAAGACTTAAATGGGACCTGAGTGGTGAACAGGCCTTGTGCTAGCCCTCTGCATGTGGGTAAATTTCACCCATCCTGAGCAGGGTCAGAATGCTAGAATCTGAAAGATTACTGGGCAGTTAGCAATGATAGTTGGAGGTCAGCAGTTGTTGCTCTCCCTGCTGATCAGAAATGATACTCCTCAGGAAATTGTCCCTTAGAGGAAAGAGAAAAGCTGCTGCTGTTAGGTTGCCACATAATAAAAAGCAGCTTATCCTAGTGTTTCATAAGCAGTGGTCGGAGTTTTATTTTGTTTCTTTTCATATCTGTGGGAAAATTCATAATGTCAGAGAAAAGGTCAAGAAAAGGGTTATTTCAAAATAATTGCTTTCTCAAAGGGGAGAAAGACTGTTATGTATAGAGACTATTATAAATAAAAAGAGCACAAAAGACACGTTATACCATAATTTCCAATCTAAAGATTTCTCCACTGTATTCAAGTGCCTAGCTTAGCAGTGCATCTATGGATTCTGTCCGTATTGCAGACCAGGCTCTGTGAGCGACAAGAAAAAGAAAGTAGTCATTGAGGGAGAGCAAGAAGTGAGGAGAGGGAAACATTGTAAGAAGCATGGAGGTCAGTAATCAGCAGATAGACAACAATATTCATTCTTCACATTGTAACAGGAAATTTGCTTCAGCCACAGGTAGGGTTGCCAGGTGTCCGGTATTGAACCGGACAGTCTGGTATTTGGACTTTGTGTCCAGTAAACAAATTGAGAAAATACCGGCCATGTAAATGTCCTGTATCTTCTAATTAAGGAAGTTTTTCTGCTTTTCCCGGGACCGGCTTGGTGCCCAACAGAAGCCCGCTTGGGATACACAGCAATTAAAGGGGTGAGACCTCCTGAATCCCCTCCCCCCTACGCTCCCTGGTTACTCTCTGGTGGTTTTTTTTTTTTTTTGCTCAGCCAATTTTTAGCAAATGTTTGTACCTAGTCACAGGTGACAGGCATCCATTACTAGCAAGTTTCAGAGAGAGGAGCTGTGGTAATTTTTAGTAAATGCTAAATGCTCCAAGCAAGGTTTCACAGGAGAAACAATCTTTTATAGTAGAAGATAGTGTCCCTAGCCTATATTTGTCAGAAGCTGGGAATGGGTGACAGGAGATTGGATCCTGTCCTTAACAATTACCTGTTCTGTTCATTTTGTCTAGGGCAATCTGGTACTGGCCATGCTGGAAGACAGAGTACTAGGCTAGATGCATTTTTGGTCTGAATATGACCATTCTTATGTTCTTAATACAGCTCACTATTAATAGGTCCATCGTGATCTTCAGCCTACATTTTCCTTTTCTTAATTTCACCTCATTATTCCCAGCTAAAATTCTTTTTTTTTTTGCAATGTTCAGAAAAGGAACAACATTCTTCATGGGTTTTTTTATGCTGTTAGGCACATTTTATTTGTACTTAATCTATGAATACAAATATTAATGTTGTTTGTAACCTTGCATCTAATCTAGATCTTATATGAATTTGTATCTGCATCTATCACAATAGTACCAGTGTCTGAACATTTCTGAGGTTAATTGACTGGTATAGCAAGGTATCTCATGGTACTTCTTGGAGTTTTCTACTTTTCTCCTAACCTGGTTATGACAGCACTGCATGGGATACAGGTTTTTTTTTCTTTGAGGGCGGGGTCTAATTATTGTGGTAAATGTTACTCTATGATAATATGGAAGCTTTATGAAAGAGGAAAGGTCTTGAAGCTGTAAGATTCTGGATTAAATTATTCTCTTCTGAAATTTTGTTCCACAACCAGATCTCCTCATCAGAAAATGCCCCATTTCTGGCTCTCATAATTTTTTATCCTGAGCTTTGATCAGCATTGTTCCAGTGGAATGTAGCTATACTAGTAATTCATAGATGGAAATGTAATCGCTAATGTACTTAGGACCTTGAGTTGCCAAATTTGGTTGGACATATTCCTGGAGATTTCATCACATAACATAATCTTTAATTAAAAATTAATCTTGAATTCCCGGAGACTCCAGGACAATCTTGGAGGGTTGATAACCCTAGTAAGACCAGATCCATGAATGGCTTTCAACAGCATGCCCACGGCTTTGGACTGGCAATGAAAATAGACCAATAACTAGTGTTGCTGTGGCCTAATCTGCGGAGAAAGTGTGCTGCCTCATTCTGTACCACCTGTTAGCATTGTTCATATTTATATTCAGTTATCCAGTTTGGAGCTGATGAATGAGGCCAGGACCCTGACACAGAGGAAGAGATGTGGTTTGAAGAGATGAAAGGAAGAGGTCTTCTGGATCAGTCCTGCCTTTATGAGGATTGGGCACACTCTTGCCTTGTGTGTAATTTACATATCATCCTAGGTGAGATGGCATCTTGATTTACGTGCAACAGGAACGTGGTTCGTGCAATAGGAAAGTGGTTCTGTCATATCTGTCAGCACATGCACGTTGCATCTGCAATATATCAAAACAGGCACGGCCTGTATGAAATACATATGTCATTGCTGCAGAGGGGATCTGTCTCTCAGCCCGCCTGGCAGCTTGCTTGCCATGTGCTGTTAGGCAAGCTGTTACAGGCGCAGGAGACAACACAATGGCCGGGGGACCCCCACGCCGTCACTCCCCGCAGGGCGGGGACCCCTAGCCCGCACACGGGGGCGGGGGTGGCTGGCCGCACGGCCTGTATGAAATACATATGTCATTGCTGCAGAGGGGATCTGTCTCTCAGCCCGCCTGGCAGCTTGCTTGCCATGTGCTGTTAGGCAAGCTGTTACAGGCGCAGGAGACAACACAATGGCCGGGGGACCCCCACGCCGTCACTCCCCGCAGGGCGGGGACCCCTAGCCCGCACACGGGGGCGGGGGTGGCTGGCCCAGCACACACACGAGCTCCCATCCCGTTGCCCCCTCCAGCCAGCCAGCGCGCGCGCTGTGGGGCGAGCGACGAGGGCT